CCCTTTATTTGGTACTGGTGAGGCCACATCTGGAGCACTGCATCCAGTTTTGGGCCCCTTACTGCAAAATGATGTAAACAAATTGGAGGGAATCCAGCAGAGGGCAATGAAAATGGTTAGAGGGCTGGAGCACATACTTTATGACAAAAGACTGGGGGAACTGGGCTTATTTAGTCTGGAGAAGAGAAAACTGGGTACATCTACACATTCATTAATGTCCCATAATTATGGTGCATTGTTTAGTACATGTAATAACAAGTACTAAATTTACCATAATCAGCACTACTGTGCATTAGCAGAGATGCACACTTTTTAGGTGATGGTTAATATCCATTGGATTAATCTGTGTATGTCGCTGGTAGGTGTTGTATGGCTTTGCGGACCTCTTCATCAGTGTCCTGTCCCCCAGCAACTTCAGGGTGAAACTCTATTCCAGTGCCCCCTAGATGGTCTGGGCACTGCCCCTTTTCTTTCCTGCTACATTTTTGGTGTTCTTAGTGGGGAGACAGTTCCCTGTCGGGGGACCTGGTGGGGTCTTGACCCTGTGGGTGTTTTCGTGGGGCTCCAAACCTCCCCTTTACCCCACCCTTACCACCTCCTCAGCCTGGGTAGATGCTGTTCCCTGCAGGTCTTCCCACACTGCCCACCTTGATAGGGTTGGGTCTTCCTGGCCGTCAATCTTTAGGGATTCGTCCCTCATCTCTGGGTCGGCTTCTCCTCTCCTGGGAAACTAAACTTTCCCCATCCAGGGCCAAACTGTAACTGAAGAAACTCAACTGAAAATGACCAGCTTCTGCTGGCAGGCTCCCGAGATTTCCTCTCTCTGGGCTCTCAGTTCCTTGGGGAAAACTTGTCTGTCCCTTTTACCTTAAGAGCCATGTGTACAGGCAACTGTCCTGTTTCCAGCCTTTGCTGGCTCTTCTGGCATCATCTCCCTGGGGCCTGGATGACCTGTGGTCCTGTTGCTCTGGTCCCTCCAGCTGGCGCCATCTACTTCCCCCTCCTGGGGGCTCATGATTCCATATGGTCTGCCTGCTGTAGGGCTGTCTGGGGATGCCTGCGGGCCTGAAGAGCCATCCCCAGCCCTGGTGTCTGAGATCCTGGTTGGAGCCCCTCTGCTTCCTGGCAGCATCCCTTGAGGCTGCTGCCTCTCGGTGAGGCTCCCTTGCCCCCATTGGCCCTTGATGCTGCCCTCTGCCTCACCCATCTGGGTCTTCTGGCAGGCACCTGGCTCCTCCTTGTGGCAGTTGGAGCTGGAGCCTATCAGCTCCACAGCTGGCATCTCCCAGTGTTCTGCACCTTGCTCCACAGTGCCAGCTCAGCTGGATCCCCAGCTGCCTTTTGAGCAGCCCACACTGCTCGGGAGCCACGCCCCCAGCTCTCACTAATATGCAGGCTCAAGCAGCTATGAAACTGCTGAGCCTGCATTTGTTGGCGTTGGTGTTCGGGTCTCTTCCCAGCTGCTTCCCGTCTCTGTTCCTGCGGTAAGTATCAGGGTACACTGATCAGAGTCTAGGCCATGCTAGGGTGGGGCTCCTGACTCCCCTCTCACAGTGCATTAGCACAGTTTTTGTGTGACATGCTAATGTGCAGTAGAATTAGTCCAGTAGGCATTAAGTATCTCATGTAGATGTGCCCACTTAGAGGGAATTTATTAGCAGCCTTTAACTACATGAAGGGTGGTTTCAAAGAGGATGGAGCTAGACTGTTCTCAGTGGTGGCAGATGTCAGAACAAGGAGCAATGGTCTCAAGTTGAAGCAAGGGAACTTTAGGTTAGATATTAGGAAAAAACTTTCTCAGTAGGAGAGTAGTAAAACACTGGAACAGATTACCCAGAGAGGTTGTGGAATCTCCATCCTTGAAGGTTTTTAAGATCCAGCTGGACAAAGTCTTGGCTGGGAAGATATCGTTGGGGCTGATTCTGCTTTAAGCAGGGGGCTGGACTAGATGACCTCCCGACGTCCTTTCCAACCCTAATTTTCTGTGATTCTATAACAGCATCCCAACTAACATAGGAAAAAACTCTGCATCTCCTCCTTCAGACTAATTCACCCATTTTGGAGGTCTTTTATATTATTTTGTAATTTAATCTCTTGAAATTTAGAAGTACGGAACTTTCTCCAGAAGCCATTTTACACACTAATATATATACTCTTTTATGTCAATTATTTTATCATTTCTGCACATGAATCTATACAAATAGGCAGCTGGCTTGCACTGATTTCTATACTTATGTAGGTATCTAAAACAGATAGTTTAAATCTCTCCTGGGTACATTTATACCAGCTACACACAGAACTGAGTACAGATTGGACATATGCTTAGTCTTTTTTTGTTCTAACATGGCTAAGTGGTGGTAATAGCATTTTTGAATGAAATATTTCATACTATAGAAAAACCACAAAAGATGACCAATGGTAAAGGCTGATCTAAGTAATCTGTGCATTAGGACACTGGGTTTCCCTAGCTGTTGGTTCCTAAAGATATGAGCTCTGATGCCTTACAGGAAGTTTTCTGTAGAGGGTCCTTTTTGCAGTCTGTAGCTGTGGTTTGCTGATTTTTGCCCATTTGGTTAAACTTTTGGCAAATGCTGAAAAAACACAGTAACGGCAGCTTTAATTTGTTCTAATTTGTACATGGCAACAGGATTTGAGGTATTGGGTGCCTGTTACAAATTTTTTTACTTGCACATATGAATAACATTTGCATCATCTTGACAACATGGTGAATGTGTACTCTCATACATTGTTTATGACTAATAATCATTGTATTAACATACTTCAGAGCTGCTATATCCATTCTGGAATCCCAGGTATAATAGGGACCAAGGCAAAAACTCCAGACAGAAATAGGGACCAAGAAACTTCCTGAACTACTATTCATTCTCCTAAATTTGAAGACTGGAAAGATTTTGTATTTCCTTGCCTTGGTAGGATTCCAGGTTAAAGGAGACTAGAGGAAAGGATGAAGTAATAACATTCAGGATACTTTTAAATTCAACTGACAGGCAAATGGGAACTGTGTGCAGCAGACATAGAAACTATAATTCAACAAAGTGCTCTAGTTCAGCATTTTATATGATAGTGACATCATAAAACTATAACAGAAATATCACACGGCTTCAAAGACGTTCAAATGTGGCATCATTAACTGAAAAGGGGATCAACCAAAAAAACCCAAAAACTGGAGGAAGACCTTGGGCACTAGTTAAGTCAACAAACATGAAAAAAGGCATAAAAAGAGATGAAATTTCAAAGGAGGAATAAAAGAATAAAAAAGAATCTGAATTTAACTTTATACTTTGCTTAAAGTAAAAAAAAAAATCCAAAAAGAAAACTTTTAAGAAAATTACTTTGCCTTTTCTTAAATATTACTTTATTATGAACCAATCTCAAGTTGCACAAAAGTAAAAAGTCACAGATTGGTGATTTTTTCTCTTGTATCTAAAGGATAGCTTTGTCATATGAAGCTAAAGTTTCCATGACTAGGGACAGAAGTTACACAAACTGGTTTCAGTGATCAGAAACTGGTTTAAACCTGTAACTGAACAGAAGTTCAGTGTACATAAACCGGTTTCAAAATGGCTGAAACTGATTTAAGATAAACCTGGTTGAATGGAGTATCAGACTTAACTGATTTGGCTTAAACTGTTTTATAAAACTTCTGTCCCAGACCCCTTCCTGGTTCAAGTTAAATCACAATCCCCCAGCATCACAGCATGCTTTGCAGTCTGGGCTGTGCTGGGCTGTGCTGTCTGCTCCAGAGAGCAGGGCTGGCCCTGCCCCTCTGCTCCCTAGCTGAAGCAGTGAGGGCTAGCTGACAAGGGAGGGGGGCAAGCCCAACAGGGGATGCAGCGCATTCTGCAGGATGGGACTGGCCCCCCAGCCAGGCAAAAACTACAGCTAGGGTTTGGGGTCAGGGAGGGAGGTTAAATTTCCCCCACTCAAACGTCCTGCTGGTTGTAAGTGTGGACTATAAATCCCAGAGGCACCTGGAAGCAGGAAGAAGAAATGATGAGCAACCATACAGAGTTCCCACAGACCTCTGGGGCAGCAGTAGGAGAAAGTAAACACATAGCCAGAAAGCCATGATCTAGCACCCCCTGGTTTCTGGCCTGAGCCACTGCAGACATGTGGGTGCATTTCCTGAATCAAAGGTAAATGTCTGTTCACTTTCTGTTTCAATTTAATCTGTGCAGCTTAGACTAACCTGCAAAGACTGAATCGATTCAGCCTCGGGCTTTTTCACTGTCTGTACCTAGCTCACGTGACCAATCCTCATGTTAGCTAATTCTTATTTTTAAATGATACTTAAAATCTTTTAAAAAAGTGATGGAATTACTTAATTTAGGAAAATGATCCTACCACCTACTTCACAAGAATTTTCTCTTCAAATTTCAAAGGATTGTTGTGCATTCATCTTAGAGTCATTGCAAGCTGCAGTTGTTCTGTATCATCCTTTAGGTTGAACACACAACTCTCACCTGTACTTGGATTCTTTAAGGGTATTTACCAAAATTTACCTCAGTCCTCTGCTGCATTCATCATTAAAGCGTCAAAATTTTTAAGTCCCATTGCTTCTTAGAAGTACTTTGGTTGATGGTACCACTATACTTTTTTCAGGACACCAGATTAACTGTCCCAGAGGGAAACTTCTTGTGAAAACCCAAATGCTATGATGAGTGCTCTTGAATAGCATATTGGATTGGGAGGAATACATTTTTCTAATTTTTTTTTATTATTTTTTGCTTTTTCTGTCCCCCAAAGGCAGAAGTATGAAAAGTAACAGCCCACTTATCAGTAGTTAGAGTTAAGAATCTATTTCCATTTGCAGCAGGTCTTGAAAAAAATGTCTATTACAGTGTATTGTGTTATTAACCCACTGACTACACATATACAAAGGGACATTATACACACTGAGTACTTCATTTTACAGTCAAAATTGTGATCAAAACTGGATAAAAGCAAAGAAACATGATGGACACTCCAGGGTTTTTTTCTTCTTTTTATCTACACATCCATATCATTACTTTATCATTGTTATGCTCTTTTAATATGATCTTATTGGCAGGTGCATTATCCCCTTAAATAAAACAACTCAAGTTTTCAAATAATCTCAGGACAATTACTCAAAACACAATGCAATGTTTTATAATGAAAATTTATAATCAGGTTTATAACAAAGTAATTCATTGTATAAACAAATGAATCAGTCAAATGCTAAATAAATATCTATAATGCTAAATATCAACATCTTGTTTATATCATATAGGGCCTGATCCTGCAAGCCCTATGCATACAAGCCAACTTCCCACTGAAATCAATGGCTTTAGTTTTTATTTGTCTAGTTGTCTTTTAGTTTGAGCTGAGCAAATACATCATAGCCAATAAGTTCTCCAGTGAAATGAGAATTGGAAAACCAAAAGCAGATCATGTGTTTGTTACCTCATGTGATTGCTATTAATTTGTTTTCATATTTATCAGATTGTTACCACTTTACTTCCCCACTCTCTGAAACTGATGCCTCCTCACAACTCAGATTTACAGCCAAGTGTGATCTGTGCAGGGTTTTTTTTTGCAATTTCCTGGTATGTCTGTAAACCTACTGGAGTTTGTGCACTAGTAAGAGACAATCACTTGGATTTTCATGGAAAGCAAACAGAAAAAGGGTTGGACATAGCCAAAGCAAATCCGTGGAGCCATATGAATAAATAGCTCAGGACTTTTTATTTTCATTATTTGCTCAGCTCTTCTTGTGATATAGTTTGAAATCAAGTTATTACATACAATCAAAATTTATTCACGCTTGGTTAAATTCTGATGGTTTCTTGCATGTGTCTGATTTTACCACAGATTCATAGTAAAACATCTTAAATGTGTGCCTAAAAGAATGATAAAACAGAAGACCTTTGCAAGAAAGCATCTCTACAATTGAAAGGGTGAGCAATGTTCAAAGTGATTATACATTCTTCCTATACAAAAAAACTTCTCTCTAAATATAAAAAATTACTTTATTTTACTTAAGTTGGCTTCATCTTTAAATATTCTACTCCACAAATCCATAATATGATCATTTCAGGCCGTCCAGAGAGATAAATCGTAACACAGTCCTATAACCTCCACTAATATAAATATATTGGCAAGGAACTTTGACCAGCAAGAGTAAATTGTCAACCTTAAATAATTACTTTTTACATTTTTAAAATTTTAACAATGGTTGGTCTCAGAGTACCAATATTAATGCACAATGTAGAAAAGCAATTTTAACTATCCTTTTAATCACCCTTTGCATCAAGTGCAGTTTTATGAAAGGAATGTAAAAGAAATGTTTTTATATATTAGATACTCATTTAAAAAGAGACAAAGCAACTTATTCTATGTGTTTGAAAAGAAGAGTACTGCATGTCTGTACTTTATTATAAATAACCATGTTCTGTCAATAGTTTCTTCTTGCCAGCAAACGAAGGACATTGGTTCACGAAGCTTCTAAAATAACACAAATATTTGATTAAATCATGTTTCCTTGAGAAAATAAAGTTCATTTGCATTTAGAGCAGACAATAATGAGGAGTTCATTATTATTATTATAAGATGCTTAAGGAGTTGGTAGCCAGTACCAGTTGCATTTGGAAACAAACGCCTCAGTTTTTCCTTTTTTTTAAAAAATAAAGGTACAATCATAGTTATTCGTTTACTTAAAAAATTCTAAAGACGAAGAAAAGTAGTGTTTATATATATAAGTCCTCATATAAATTATAAAACTCAAGTTTATGTTACAGAGTCCCTTCCACAGAGGAAGCATAAAGCACTTTTGTGTTATCTTCACCAGTAAATAGTTTTTATCACATTAAGTTTGACAAACGCAACAAAGATGGTATTGCATCCTAAAGCCCAAAGAGAACAATCTTTTGATGCAGACTCTTATAACGGATGTGCTCCGTGGGATCATTTGATTGCTGTGAGTTAACTCAATTTCAAACAAAGGGAGTACGAAAGTAAAACAACTAAGCAGTTCAGTAGGAATTGGAATATCAGTGAACAGCAGACTTGTCTTCTTTGAGGTCAACAAACAATCTTTGGAAGACAACAAAGAGGAGTTTAAAAATATGACAACAAAATAAAAATAACAATAATGAGGTAAACTCCCCTAAAAAGGCAACGATGAACTGGAATGTCAGGAGAGAGTTCGATTATACCTGACACCTAAGTGTTTTTCTAGCCAGATTTCAGCGAGCTGCATGGTAGATGCAAATGTACTTGCTTTGGACCCTAAGCACATTTTATATTGTTTAGGATCTAAATTGGGGTCACACTGAACTGGATGAAAAACATGCACAACTCCTACTTCTTGACTTCTAAAGGCCTTCAACCCAGATATTATTACTTTGTTAAAGAGGTCTACATCTTCAAGTCCCCAGCCTTGAATTGAGGTATCAAATCCACCAACAGTCAGTAGGTCACTTTTGTAAATACAGGTGATTCCAAATCCATAGTCTCTCCAAAATCCACTTTTCTTTGTAAAAACAAAGTTACTATCAGCTGGAGTGTTTCCTCCATATGTTACTTTTGGATCATATTGACTGAAGATGATAGGGTAATAAACCTGTTGTCCCTGAATAGTATTATCTCTACATCGCTGGAGAAATTCTGGGGTGAATATCAGGTCAACATCACAGAATAGCAGCAAAGTGTCATTGTCAAATTGAGAGGAGGCTGTTTCAAGACCTAAGCCTCTGGAAAACTCTCCCGTCATGGGAATCAAGGTTATATCGGCTGTCGGGTACTTATTATTATATTCTTTAATTAACTCCATATGTTTGCTGGAATCTTGGCCAGAGTCAGAACTGAACAGAATTATTGCCAGCTTTACATTCTGCCTTGGAATAAGACAAACTTTTTCAAAATTCTCCATAAATCTTAAGAAAATGTCATATCTTCCAGTGAGGGGGACAAGAATATGTATTTTCTTGTCATAATGTCCCCACATTTCTTTGGTGCCCTGAAACGATGAGAAAATCTTTAAAGAATTTGAAAGAAAAGACAAAGACTGAGTGTCACTGTTGATATTTTCTACAAGGGTTCTTACATCCAACTCCTCTGCTTCTCTGAAGAAAGGCTTGCTAAACAGTTGCTGAAGATAGGCATGACGTCTCACTGGAACTGTAAGTTTTCTTCCTTTGTGCCTTTTGTACAAAAGCAGTAAATCCAAGATGTACTCCACTCCATGCAAAGGATCAACTCTACGGTAGCCATATTGTATTTCCTTGAAATCAATGAGTCTTCCTCTAGATTTGGAGTTCTCATTTATCATTTCCATTACCTGCATCACTGTGTCATCCAATGCTGCTCGCAGAACGCTGCTGATACTTTGTCGGGGTGGTTGGTTCTCAGCCATTGAGTAAAGGAGCTTCCCTGTGAGGAACTCCCATTCAATGACTTCATTCCTTTCACGTGGCTGGAAACGATTGAAAGAGGGCATCATTCCAAGCTGCTGATCTTCCTTATTTATTTCACTGTTACTGAGCTTGCTCATTAGAGCACTTTCCCTATGGAGCTGAATGGTGCGATAGCGTAATTCTGAAATTTTGCGGCTCAATATATAATTGTGCAGCCTATATTGGTAGGCTGGCCTTTTATTTGGATGAAGTGTTATGGCTGTATGAATTTTAGTGTTGTGAAGATCTTGGATGTAACCCTTCCGGTTGTGTTCATAATTTTCATGGAATAACTGCTGCATCTACGAAGAAGGGAAAAAAACCCATATCATTAAATGGCTTTTTATATACATTTGAAAAAAAATACATTTAGTATCCATTAAATCCTTGTAGATACTTTTATAAGGTATTCAACAAATATTATTCACATAATTTGTATGAAGTCCAGTAGTACCTACATTAAGCAAATAAGATTTCCTAAATTAAGTGAATGACAATTTATAGAACTTTGTTCCTTATAACTGCAAAATCAGAAAAGTAATTTTTACAAGTACATGATCATGACTCATCCCAGTAATTAGCAAAAGGATGTCAGAACCCTCATTGGTTTTCATAGAAGCAGGACGAGGCTTGCAGATGGAACGAGGATGTGATGCTGCTATGCATGTGACACATAAAATGTATTTGTACATATCTATTCTGCATGGCTAAAGGGGCTAAGGACATTTTTCAGGATTCTGGATGTAAGTCAGTATGTACCAAAAGCAGCTCATATTTCTTTCTCCAATAAACAAATGAACAGATCTCCTTAATATTGATTAAGCAAATTAACCTTAATTTAACTAAACAGTTAAACTAGCTGTTTAATTTAGCAGTTTTGTCCTATGACCATACAGGATTAAGCAAACTAATTATAATCACTTGGATAATGAGTACAGGCAGTAATAAATATATATACAAAATCATGCCCAATCAAGCATGAGTATCATTTACCTTCAGTAAATTTTATTATTTACTTTTGAGATAAGCCCCGATATTCTAATTGTCAGATTAGTAATTGTAACATAAGCTCACAGAGAGAGGTTCATTTTGTGGCTAAAGCACAGGATCAGGGGTTTGAACATCTGATACATGCACCCTACATGTGCTATTGACCTTCAACTTTTTGTGCCTTCTTTGTGCCTGTACAAAGAGGATAGTTGAAGCCAACACAAAAAAATTAAACAATATTTATAAAGTTCTCTGTACTTTCTTAAATATGAAACAATATGAAAGATTAAAATATTAGTCCTTCATAAATGCATTTAAGATGCTTCATTCTTTCCTATGATAACAAGCATTAGCTAAGTGCCCAAGGGCTGGATTCATATTTCTAGTACTGAGAGATAAGAAAAAGCAGGCTGTTTTTCTACACATGCTTAATGAAAAACAGACTGGTCTGTAATTACATTATATAAAAAGGGAAAAGTGCTAATTAGACAGAAAACGTTGCTCAGAGCATTGTTGGTGAACTGTAGTACTAATCAAATTGAGACTGGTATTGAAGTCTGTCTTCTCCACACTGCATAAATCAACAAAGGTGACATTTAATATCGGAATAAGCGATAACACAACATCAAAATGTTTAATCTCATTTTATGACAAACCTTTCTAGAGCAGAGATCCCCTTAAAATATTTTGCTTCCCAAAAAAATTATTAAACAGAGAATAAATGATTCCTGAAGAATACTGTCAGGTTGCATTCTCATAAAGAAGCACCTCCCCACTCCCCGCAAGGTTAAGAACCAAGGTGGAAAACGTTCAAAAGGCCTGTTACAGAAGAATTTACAGCAGAAAATGCAAATCTTAAATCAAAACTTGTCAAAATATTATTCCATATAGAATGTCAAGATTGTTTTAAGTTTCTGTTCTCTTCCTGAAATGAATTGGCTTAAATAAAGAAAGCTATTATTGTTGGTGAATTCTGTATTTCTGAGACCACAAACATTATCTGAAAATAAGACAAGCAGAGAAACAGTGACATAAACATGCATCTTTCCCCATAAATCAATCCATAGTCAGACTATTTTAATACCACATTTAAGCTGTGACAGATTGGTTTTTAACATAGATCAAACAATCCAGAGCAAGGCATCTAGGGAAACTGATGGTAGCTAATAATACTCAAATAATTTGGCACTTAGAGAACATATTTTGTCTGAGGATCTCAAAGCAAGTTACAAAATATCCCTGGAGGAACGTATTATATTCACTTTGAATTGAAATACACGGGGAAAGAAAGTAAACGATTTGTCTGATGTTACAGAAAACATTTTGGGTACCTTGACTCCTAATCACCTTCTCTGAGTCAAGCACATCACTTCCTAAGCCTCTTTTTAATGTCTCTTTAAAAAGTTACATTAAACTAAGAAAACTTTGAGGTACAAATTAGGTTTTATCTTTTGAAAAGTCTAGCTGGATCACTGCACAGTTCCTTCTTTCTTCTTATAAGCTGAACTCCATCATCCTTCCTTCTCATTTAGGATTGTGCAATTCATTTTCTCAATGTGATATCAACTTCCTATACTCCTGTTGTTCATATAACCAAGAATTACAATTTCAGTGTTGTTTTTGGGACCAAAAAACCCTATTTCCCATAAAAAAAAAAATCTTAAAATAAATGCTATATCATTATCTGGCAGAAAATGAATCTATTATTCTAGGTTTATAGCTGTTTCTCCTGCCAATTCTCCCCCAAAACCTTGAGTGACACAGGAATAAAAAGTGAGGCAAAACAGAAAGATTTTTTTTTTTGTTAAGGGGAGTTACTATATTTGTATCTACTTCATAATTCTCCTACTTATAATAAAATTTGGAGGCAACTAAGACAACCCAGTCCAACTTTTTTAGTTTAAACTAGGTCTTTAAAGCCAGATTTTGGAATCTCACTAGGTCTCCATTTTTTAAAATATTGACTTAATCTTTATTGCAAAATGGTATATTTTGTTATACTCAGAATTTTTTAAACAAGTGTTCACTAGAAAATGCTAATTTGACAAAATCAATCAATTTGACAAAATCAAAATCTCATTTTTTCAGAAAGAAGTCTAAAAATTGTTGAAATATACTTAGCTAGTTTCACAATCTTTTTTGATTTGAAATAAAAAGTTTTAATTTTTAAAAAATTCGACTAAAACTTAAAGAACCAAAAATTTAAATTTTAAATGTTTAAAAATCATAAGAATTAAATGTTTCAACTGATATGAATATTTAAAACTGAATAAAACAAATATGTCAACTGAACAAACAAATCTGCTAAGAATTCTGGATCAGATATTAGGAGCATAGGAAAACAGGAGCCTAGGATCTGATGCAAAATTCTTTGCAGATTTGGGTTGTAAAGATTTTGTCCTAATTCAGTTTTTGGCATCAGGAAATTCATTTTTCTACTGATATATTCTAGTGAAAGAACACTTTATGAGAAATTAAGAGAGGTGATGGTGGTATTGAAAAACATATTAGAAAACCTGCTGCTAACCCTGACATCTGTAATTGGCATTTCAGCCCTTTCTGAATCTTCTGTAAGCAAGATGTGGATGTAGAATTTCAGAATTCCATTAAAAGATTCCAGTAAACATACAATAAGTAGCTATTGCTAAGTGTACTGTTTATTTGTTGTCAAACAGTCATTCAATGGTATACGTGGAGAAGTCTTAAATGTTTTAGAAATTCAGTACAGAGATCCTCAGTCAATTTAAATTGGTGTAGACTCATTATATTAAAACGAATAAACTAAGCCAGTTTATACCCGGTGAAGTTGACCTCATGTTTCCCTATCTTAATCTTACTGAAATCAGTGACTGGTAAGCTTCCATGTGATTTTATTAGAAGTTCAATGTGTTAATTTTTTATATGCCATCACTAAGCTTTTTAATGAGGAGATTGCCTTTTGAATAATTCTCCTAGCACAACTAGCACTGCAGTTGATGGGAATTTCTGCTGGAGTCTCTTTACGCTGGCTGCAACTAGAAGCTGGTGAGAGATTTGAGTACTTTAATTGCGCTCTAAGTAGCTCTGAGCTGCAACCGGCAGAAAAAATATATGGTGAATTAAGTAAGAGCAAACACAAAGCTTCCTTGCAAATGGCAGAGAAATAGAATAGTTAATATGTAAGCATATTGTAATTTGTACTGTAAACCTTCAAACTCAATCCTTCTGATTTAGTAATGTAATATAACTGAAAAGACTTATTATAGGCAATGCAAATGCCCAAATCAACCTTCTTTTATTATGGAAGAATAATATTAAGACTGAACATAAATGGTGGTTTCTTTAATTAAACACTATTTTTCTTTGAACATTCTTTTAAAACGATTTCTCCCACAGAGAAAGCATGAAGGCATGCTTCAGAGAGAACATTAGAAGGCATGAAGCTTAATGCACTCCTCAGATCCCCTCCTTTTTAAAGATACTATTAAATACCCAACATCTTGTTTACCTCAAGGAATGACTGAGCTTTTCACACATAGCAATAGGAGTACAACAAAGGGGTACCCATTGCTGTCCTCTTTTCACACCTAAACATAGTTAAAATTTAGGTTTCCAATACTCCTGTTGACTTCAATGTTGACTTCAATGCAGATCTCCTGTTGCAGATTTGGGCTGTAAAGTGGCTAAAGGTGTGGCTCAAAGGAATTGTTGGCAATAGTATGTAACCTATCATTACATCTTCTGTGCTAGAAGAATAGAGGGTTGCCAGCATAAAGCCCATCTTCAAAAAGGGCTCCAGACGTGATCCTGGGAACTACGGACCAGTAAGTCTCATTTCCATCTCTATCCTTGGCAAATTGGTAGAATCTATAATAAAGAATAAAATCAGCACTCATACGGACAAATATGATCTGCTGGGGAGAAGTCAGCATGGTTTTTATAAAGGGAAATCCTGCCTCACCAATCTGCTGGAGTTTTTTGAGGGTGTCAATAAGCATGTGGATAAGGGGGATCTAGTTGACATAATACATTTGGACTTTCAAAAAGTTTTCAGCAAGGTCCATCACCAAAGGATTTTTAAAAAATTGTGTTGCCATGGGATTGGAGGGACCGTTCTTTCCTGGACTGAGAGCTGGTTAAAAGATAGGAAGCAGAGGGAAGAAGTAAATGTTCACTTTCCAGGACAGAGAGAAGTGAAAAATGGGGTCCCACAGGAATCTGTGTTGGGCCCAGTTTTACTCAGCATTTTCATTAATGACCTAGAAATGGGGGTGCACAATGAAATCTCCAAGTTTGCAGATGATACCAAATTATTCTGGGTAGTCTAGTCCCA